CTCACATAACCATCACCCCTCCCACCCCCAGGTGATTTATGACTTGTCAGGTTCCTTGCCGCTGCAGGGACTTCGGGGACGTTGTCAAGGTGCCCACTGGTCAGGGAATGACAAGTGTGTGCGTGCGTGTGTGTATGTGTGAGAGAGAGAGAGAGAGCATGAGAGAAAGAAAGTGAGAGCGTGTGGAAGGGTGAGAGAGCGGAAAAAAACGGTAAGAGTGGCAAGAGCGCGATGGAGAGCAAGAGGGAAAGTGAAGAATAGAGAGCAAGTGTCAGCCTGTGTGAGAGCGACGAAGAGAGCAAGACAACAACAGACAACGAGAGTGAGATCGAGAGCGATATAGAGAGTGAGAAGGAGGATATGAGAGAGTGAGCGTGTGCGAGAGCCAGAAGGAGTGACAGTGAGTGAGACAGCGACAGAGTGAGAGAAAAAATGAGCCTGAGAGATATTTATTTCATTTTAAAATTATATTCAAAAAGTTTGTGCCCAATCCCAATTGACCTGCAGGTAATATTTTTGTCCACTCGGGGTCGCTAAATTCCACATTTTTGTATCTGCAGCTTTGAAAGTGTGTGGCTTTAAAGGCGGGGCCTGGCTTGGTGAGTGACGTGGGCGTCAGCCAATGAGCGCGGGTGCGTACCTGCTTGGCGTCGTCCGCGTGGCAGGGCAACAGCAGAATCTGCGAGGCCGGGAAGGTGGCGGTGACCGACACGCATTTGTGGGCGTCGGGGTCATCTGCGGCGTCGGCGTCACGCTGCTGTCGGATCTGCTGGCCCGCAGTGTAGATCCACTCCTGCACAAAGCAGTCGCACACTGTCTCACGGCTTCTTTTGACGCTTGCAAGCAAGTTGCCATCAGGCACGCGTACCGGCGCCTTCGTTTGATGGCTGACACGTGAGCCCCCCCACCCTCCCTTTTTTAATAAAAGTCCTTTTCATTGTTTTGTTTTTCAGTCAATGCGAAGCAAAACCTGCACCGTCATGAGGTGACTGGAGCTCGTGTGCGTGCGAGCGTGTGCGTGAAGGCCAGTGAATGGAACGTCAACACGCGCACCCAGATGAAGCCACGGTTAAATAACGAGCACGTTGTCAGACATGGTTATGAAGCGTTCCTTCCGTCAGCTGCTTCATCGCATTCATTAACATGGTGATTGACGCACGGCCATTCATTTTGGTCACGGCGAAAGAGTGACACGTCATCTTAATGGAGACGCCAAGTGGGCGACCGCAAATGACCTCAATTATACAATAATCACAACCTGATGTCTTTTAAATTGCCGCTGTGAAACATTGCTTTTTGCTTGGAATGAGCGACAGTTTGTTTATATTCGCGTCATGTTTTCGATGCAAGGTGACGCGATTGTGTTCATTTTCATTTCGTTTGTTGCTCTACTTTTTCAAAAGCCGGAGTAGCATCCAAATGATTTTGGAGCTGATGAAATACCTGATCGAACAGGACAGGCAATTGATTTGTGCTGTGGGTCAAACTGACCCATTTGAAAATCTGGAATATTAAACCCTTTTTTTTTCCATTTTCTTGGAATAAGTCCAAGATGGCGCCCGAGTGGGCAGCCGTCGGCAAGTGCTCTCAAGAGCCTTGCTTTTTTGTTGTTGTTTTTTGATGTTTTTGTGTTTTGGTTTGTCACATTGTGTTTGTTGTTACGTCGTGTGGACCAGATGTGGATTGTTTTCAGCATTTTTTTTTTTGGCCACGACATTCGTCAAAGGCGAAGAATCTGTGCTTGCTGGTTGTGCCTTATCTGCAACACACGTGTACCAGCACAGATTTTGATTGGGAGGAATGTCGGCGCCATTTGACTGTCGTTGCTGGACAGCCCCGGGGGCGATTGTGTTTTTTTGTGCCTGCATTGGGAAGCCTTTTTCACAGCCCCTTTTTTTCAGCGGAGATGTTGGCGCTGTTGGAAAGTCTGCGTTGGTGGTTTTTGGAACCGAGGATGAGGAGAGAGCAGCGTCTGCGCGGAACACGGATGTGTATTTGGAACTGAGAGTCGCCGTTTGGAGTTGAAGCGGATTCACATGGGGCAGGAGAAGTTAACCAATCTTTTTTTTTTCGTCAATAGACGCTACAGCTTCTTGTTTACTTTCAAACTTAGCTTGTCGCTGACGTGTGCACATTTTGACGCCTCTGTTCCACTGACACTTTGATTCTCACCGCTTTCATCTAGAACTGCTTCAAACGACAAAGTGCATGGAGGAAAATGTGGTGAACAATTTCATGACTGTCCATGTCTTATGTTATGTTTTGTCTTATATTTTATTTTCTGTTAACTGTTTTATAAAGCACTTTGTTACAGCTGCAGCTGTTGTTAAAGTGCTTTATAAATAAAGATGTATTGTATTTAAAAAAAAAAGTCATTTGTGTTGTTTGAAAATCTAAAATAAATCAGTTTTAAAGTCGGTGCTGCATTTATGTTAGTCCTTTTTTTCAGAATAAAATTAATGGAAAATAAAATAATTTCTGATAAATAAATGTGAAGTGGAAAGTGCATTGTGTTATTCTCTTTTTTAAAAATTAATTAATTAATTTATTTGCTAATTCAAGTTGTTATGCGCAGTCCCGGCTGGCAAAGATGGCGACGTGTTTTTTTAAAGTCGAACATCAATTCAGTTGTGCCCTGCGCAGAAGCAAGGACTGCTGCTTCTGTTGCCGCGTTGTGCTTGCAGTGTGGACCTGGTTGCGTGCGCGGCCACCGTCCCGCTCCACGCATGGCGCCAACATGAGGACGGGCGTCTCCTGGCCGTCCACGCGGCGAGACTCCAAGCAGTTGTGTCGCTGTCGGATCGGGCCGTACTGCCAGTCCGAGTCGTCGGGGACCCTGATGGGGGCAAACAAGACAGGTTTGGGCTGAAGACGGCCCAAGCGACACGATTCGTTCCCCCGGTTTCCATCACGAGGCTCAACTTAGCCGCGTGATCTGAATGAAGTCGAGAAAAAGGAGCGTAAGCTCATCAGGTCCATCAAGATGAAGTGTTTGAAAAAGCATGCGGACTTTAAAGACTTGAGCAACTTTCTCAGGGTGATCAATTGGAGGAAGTCGTTAATTCAATCTGGTATCTGGCCTCCACTTAATAAGCCCTCAAAAGGTGGAGAGAGGCCGCTCCCCCGAGAACCGCGCTTTTCATTCCATTCAGGGGGGATTAACACCGTGCAACGCGCGGCAACCTTTTTAACTCATTAGTGGACGCTTCCGTCGAAAGATTAGGCGGCCGGTAATGCCAGTAAGGAGGAAGAGAAATATGAACGTCTGGGCAGTCTGACAAATTTGGCCATGTGACAGTCCGAAGAGCAAATATGTAGCAACCTTAGTTGCCATTGTGAGTAATGATGAAACAGTTCATGAATGAATGGTGAACGCCATGTTAAAAAAAAAAAAAAAAAACATGAGCCATGTGGTGAATCAGTGATTCTTCTTCTACGTCTGTAAAATATAATTTGGCCATGCGAAGTCCTTTCCCAGTCTTGTTTAAGTTGTTTGACAGTTTCAGCAAAAAAAATATTTCCATCAGTCACAGCTCTTTTTGCAAAAAAAAAAAAAGCAACTCATTTTTCTCTGCTTTTGGGTCAGAAACTGACCATTTTCCCCCCATTTTTTAATTTATAATTTTATCTGTGGTTTTATTGTTCTTTGTTTTGTCCTTGATTGTAAAGTGTCCTTGAGTGTTGTGAACGTTGCTTATAAATAAAATGTATTATGATTATTATTATTATTATTATTATTATTATTAAACCGACCTATGCTTCACTGCTGATTACTCAAGAAGAGAATGAGGTTGAAACAAACTTTTTTTTTTTCCAGGTGAGATAAGTCAACTATTTCTTTAGTGATTTCTGTGCTTATGTTGTCACAACATTGTTGTGAAGTTAAAACATTGTGAGAAACTGGTCAAAACGGAAGCAATGAAAATGTTTGGAAGTGAACAAGTGAAAGAAAACCGGGACAAAAGTATCGCGACAGCTCCGGGAAGTTAGAAGGCAAGAAAATGGCCCAAAAGCAAGAAACACAAACAGGCAGAGAGACTTGAGTGACACTGACTTGAGTTGCGGGTAGACGTGCTCCAGGTACCACTTGAAAGGTTTGCACTTGAGCTTGCGCCTCAACTCCAGGCGGCCTCCGATGCTGCTGACCACAAAAGTCCCGTCAGCCACAAAACCTCACATCGTTGCGAGATGGCGAGCGGCGGCGCGTCTGAATGTCAGCGCCGCGTCTGCGGGAGGCTGATAAACGCTGACATTTCAACGCGGCCGACACCTTTTCTCATCCGAACGCAAATGAAGCAGCTGGGGGCCCTACCGGAGCAGCGTGACGGCAACAACGCCTTGGGATGCTCGTCAACTGTATGTGTGTGTGTGTGTGTGTGTGTGTGTGTGTGTGTGTGTGTGTGTGTGTGTGGGTGTGTGTTCTTACTCTCCGTACGATTTTCCTCGAGCTGCCGGCCGAGCCGAGTAGTAGAAGAGGCGAAAGTCGTCCATCCAAACCTCAGCGGTGCGCCGTGTGTTCCTAACACACACTAAGAGAGAAAACACACTGTATAGAAAAAAAAAAAGAGAGAGAGACACACACACACACACACACACACACACACACACACACACACACACACAGACTGTCACGCTTCAATTCTTGCACGTGATCACAAATGATCCCCTCGTCCCCCGGATGAGAAAGTGCGCTGCGCCCCTCTGCTAACTTGCGTTTGTCTCCAGTTTAGCGGACCGCAGATGCACGTCCTCCTTTGTTGCCATGGCGACATCCTGTCCTTTTGTTTTTTGTGGGGGGGGGGGCCCTCCATCAACACGATGCGTTCATATGCGACCTTTTATGATATTTATTAACCCGATAAGGAGGAGCTCCATTGCGCATTTCTGTGCAATGCCGATGGATGAACTTCCTGTTCGCCGACTCCCATCAACGAAAAGCGTTGACGCTAACAGCCTTAATGGACGTACTTGATGTATGTGTTGGCGCTGCCCTCCGGGAAGATGTAGGGATGTTTCTTCCGGAACACGTGACCCACGCGGCTACACGGAATGATCTCCAAGCTTCCGCCACACTGCCACACCCGGAAAGAGATCTCTGCACGCGCGCGCACAGAAATCAGAGATTTCATTTCACCTGGTTAGCATGTTCGCTCGGCAACTCCCTGAATCTAACCGGCTGACGCACTTGTTTGATTGACGCGCGTGTGGTGAAATGACTCACCAAAGTTCTCCCCGCCCCAGATGTCCATGGCCGTGTCGTATTTGCCCAGGTGCTTGAACCACGAGCTGTCGATCACAAAGAGGCCGCCGGCGATGATGGGCGTCCTGTCAAGTGGCACAATGGTCAGCGTCCTGTTACAGTGAAACTCCTCTACAATGAAACCTACATGGGCGAAAATACCCCATAGTGTGAAAAAATCTTCATGCATTAACACCATTCCCACTTTCCTGCCTCCCATACAACGAAAAAAAACCCTGTTGCGTTATACAAAATCTTTTTCTCTGCTCTTGCCTCGCGACGAGATTCGCTACAACGAAGTCTAATCCAACAGCGACCTCGACTGCTTCGTTCGGAAACGGCAACAGCAACCACCACACTGGTTTACACCTGCGCAGTACTGTAGTCCAGGAATTATTTGTAATTGTTAGTTTCAGACGCAGCAAGAACGTTGCATTGCTAAAATGGCTACAAAAAAGCCCTTTGGTTGTCAAGCAGCTAAGACAAGAAGAGCTCTGACGCTGGAAGAGAGGGTAAAAGTGATAAAAATGAAAGACAGAGGAAGCAAAATAAAAGACATTATCCAAGAAATTGATGTAAGTGAAAGTGAACGCTGATCGTAAATTTCGCAATTTCTTTCCCTTTTTTTTCTTTCTACATTGACTATATGAAGGGTCACATAAGTGTATGCTCATACTTATGCACTATTAAATAAATAAAAATAAAAAGTACATATTCGTTTGTGCCTCATACTTATGCACTATTAAATAAATAAAAATAAAGAGTACACATTCGTTTGTGCGTGTGTGTACACATACGTGTGTGTGTGTGTATACATCTGAGATCAAATTTGCTACAGTGAAAAAACCCCTGTTGTGAAAAATTTCTTGCTGCAAACAATTTCGTTGTTGAGGAGTTTCACTGTATTCGTATGTGTGTGTGTGTGTGCGTGTGGTACTTGATTGGCAGGGTGGGGTCGGTGCGGCGATCCCTCTCCTCAGGTGATAGGCCCTCCCACTTGAAATGAAGACTCCAGTCAAAACCTGATGAGCAAAAAAACAAAAACATGAAGATAAAGGATGTGCCTCGCCTTTGTGATATTAACCCTTTCATGCACCCTGTAACCTGATCACATGATAAACTGTCCACTGTAGTGGTCAAGTAAATTCGGAGGTCTTTGCCGTGAGTCGGATGAGTTGCAGGTGAAGACATGGCAAAGTGGTTTTGGGCGTAGCGTTGGCGTACCTCCTCGTAGGTCAGCCGACGCGGCCACGTAGGCAAAGGTGTCCATGTTGATGATGTCAATGACGGGGCTCACCACCCTGGTCGGGTCCTGAAAGAAGAACAAACGTGAAAAAAAAACAAACAAGCAAAAAACGCGAAGCGTGGACAGGCATGCAACACATGCCATGGTCGGAAAAGTAAAAAAAAAATAAAAATAAGAATAATTGATCGATGGTAAATTGGGGTTTGTAGGCGCAGCTCTAGCTTGTTAATATCTGACGGAGCTCAAGGCATCCCGACTTTCCCCGGTGACATCCAATAAAAGATCATGCAGGGGACGTCGGCTGTGTCCGCTATACACAGTCGGCCTCTCGAAAACCAGTTGGACGCCCCCGTGTTCGATTGAAAAACGGCTGAGACGAGTTTTGTTCAACCGACAAGCTCACCGTGACCTCCAGCAAGGAGCCACTTGAATACGAGCGGCTTTTACGACAAACCGTTGCAGGACTGGACTAGGGATCGGATCTGCAACTGTGATGTTAAATCAGGTTTTAGGTTTTTGAGATTCCACTCGGGTCAGGTTTGAAATCTGTGGATTAGCGTCAACATTCATCCATCCATCCATTTTCCGATCTGCTCCATCCTCACAAGGGTCACGGGGGTTGCTGGAGCCTCTCCCAGCCGTCTTCGGGCAGTAGGCGGGGGACACCCTGAACCGGTTGCCAGCCAATCGCAGGGCACACAGAGACGAACAACCATCCGCGCTCACATTCACACCTTAGGGACAATTTTTGAGTGTTCAATCCGCCTGCCATGCATGTTTTTGGAATGTGGGAGGAAACCGGAGCACCCGAAGAAAACCCACGCAGGCCCGGGGAGAACATGCAAACTTGACACAGGGAGGCCGGAGCTGGAATTGAACCCGGTACCTCTGCACTCTGAAGTCGACGAGCTAACCACTGGAGCACCGGGCCGCCAGCTTCAATATTTTTCAGGTTAAACCTCATGTGGGTCATCTTTGGTGATTCTGATGATCATAAAGTCTAAATTTATGGCTTTCGGGAACAGTGGTGACAACAGTGGACAGATTATTATGTTAGCAGTTTACAGGGGGCATGGAAGGGTTAAGTTCTCGATATCTGAGACCAAGACTAGGATCACTTACGTTTTTAACGCTAAGTTTATTTAGCAACACAAGGGTGAAGTTAAGAGAACAGAAATATTGTTCTCATTTAAGCAAAGAAGGACTTTGCCCACTTTGGGGCCAGCGCAAGGCCTTGTTTGCTCCGGGGAGGGTCTCTCGGGCTGCAACTTTCCCTCCCCGCCGGCCGGACTTGACAACATTCAAGAAGCCGCCTCTCCCTCCATCAACAACACCCGCATTTCCATCTCGACACAAAGTGCAGACCGCCAACGCCGCGTGATGCGTGACTCTTCTATCTCACGCACACCCACTGAGACAGAATATGGATGACGCATGTTCAGATGTTGTGCATGCAAGTACTTCATGGGTTTATTTTCGACTTTCTTCCCTCCAAATTCCGCTGCTGGAGATTGCGAATTTCTACATTGCGAGACAAATCAAGGTTTTCTTATCTTACCTTATCTTATCTCATTCACTCCCAAAGACGTTTTTAAACGTCTTTTCAGACTTGGTCCGGAATTGGCTGGTACTGAATGAGTTAAAAAAGGAGGCGAGAGAGACGCATGTCTCAGAGCGGAAAGGTCATTGATGTCAGAAAAAAAAAAATAAAAATCTCGCTGGGGTTTGGAGGGCAGGCGCAGAGAAGGAAGACACGTCAGGTGAGCAAGCAACAGAAATGAAGACTGAAGGCGAAGAAGCCTGATGGGAAGGTAGCCTGAAAAGATGCAAAAGAAACATGAAACAAAGGAAGAGGAAGGATGGAAATGACGATACCGAGTGAAGGAAGTAGCCTGACAAGCCGGCGCGCGGGAAAAGCCATCGAATGAGGAAAAAGGCGAGGAGGCGCCTGCTTTGCGGCGAGGCGCAGACCTGCTGGATCCTGTGAAGGAGGGGCGGCAGCCAGTCCTTGTTGACCTCGCAGTGGCTGTCCAGGAAGGCCAAGACCTTGGCGCTCGCCGCATCGGCGCCGAAGACCCGAGACCGGATCAGACCTGACGCGCACACACAGCAGCGTGAACCATCGTTCTTCGTTCCGTTTGACGTTTCTTTATTTTCATTCTGTTCAATTCCTTTTTTTAGAATGCCTTTGCTTCATTTTTTTATGTCCACTTTAAAAAAAAAAAAAAAAGCTTGACTTCAGTCTAGCTTGACTTAGTTTTACGTTTGTGTGTTTTTTGAACATGGATTATGTGACGAGCGCAACATAAAAAAAAAAAAATAAAGATCCCTCCTCTCTTCTGTACGCATCTTCGTTTCCGAGCCGGCAGTCGGTGTTGCTGTCGCACGGGGACGTAACCTTCTAACGAGACCGCCGTGCCACAGCAGACAGGAAGTGAGTCAGCATCCTGCCTGCCTGCATATGCAAATGAGCTTGTTAGGCAAGCCCGTGTTCTATTCTGTTTCAACTAAATGCTCTGATCAATTATCACTGACATGAAACTGTGTGTGCGTGTGTGCGTGTGTGTGTGTGTGTGTGTGTCAGTGACATTGTCAGAAGTTTCACGCGGTGCCGTCGGGTCGAGGCTCAGCCAATTTAAAATCCCATTTCATCCTCAATAAGGCTTTATTTTCTGGTTGGGTGCACGCACGCACACACGCACGCACGGCCACAGAAACAATGAAGAATGAGGGATTTTTTATTTTTTTTTTTAAACAACCGCTTGTGTGCGCGCGGCAAGCAGTATTGGCTCGCGTGTATTTATGGGCGTTGAAAAGACAATCAAGAAAGACGACCCGAAGTCATAAAGCGTTAACGAGCCAAATGGAGAAAATTGGCCGCGTGCGCGCGCGCGCATGATGCAATGAAGGTGGGCAGCGACACGGTGTGGGACGCCTTCGCCTTCCTGTCGTCAAAGAAGGTGAACGGGGAAGGAAGGAAAAGGACGAATGTCACTTTTCAGTCCACTAAAGGCACCGGAAGTTCGATGCTAATGGTTGTTAGCATCGAGCGAAATGTGTTGAAAACACCACCATACAGTGCGTGTATCTCAAATTTGGACTCATAAGGCAACGCAATAAATAAAAAATAAGTCGAGTCACGACTGCAGTGATGACAAAAGCAGCAGCAATAAAAACATAACATTTTTTATTCTTTTTTTTAGCTGTTCCTGTCACTCTTGTTTGCCAGCATGCAGTGCGACGGGTGCAAACGGTGAAAAGCTCGTGTCGCTTAAATCCGCGCATTGTGCCGCTGTCACGTTCATTTGGCATATGGCGTTCGGTCTCATTCTATTTTTAAGAGCGTGAAAAAACGATCCGGGGAGTGTGACGACGCAGCGCAACCGCCGCATTTAGTCGGATTCAGACACGTTGGACACGCGCCCAAACCGTCTGCCTGACGCACAGGTGGCACACTCCCTCTTTCACAGCAACAAACAAACAACAACAAAAAAAAGGCAAAACTAAGTTCAAGATATGCACTGTGTAATGTGAATATATATACCGTATTTTTTCAGATTATACGTCGCTCCGGATTATAAATCGCACCAGCCAAAAAATGCCTAATTAAGAAGGAAAAAACATATCATTCGCACTGGAGTATAAGTCGCATTTTTGGGGGAAATTTATTTCATAAAATCCAACACCAAAAACATACGTCATCTTGAAAGGCAATTTAAAATAAAAATAAAATACAGAACAGGCTGAATAAGTGTACGGTATACTAACGTTACATGACTGACATGCCTGGTACTGTCAGTAACGACGGAACATATTAAGAGTTATTCAGATAACGCTAGCATAAAGAACATGCTAACAAGTTTACCAAACTACCAGTTTCACTCCAAATCACAAAATCCAATGAGGTCTTCATCCTCGGTGTCACATTTAGACAACTCCGATACGGTATATATTTGTGTTCAAATATCCATCGCCAAAAGGGTTACATATGCATTCCGTTACTGTATGTGTTAGCATTAGCATGAAGCCAATTGCAAAATTGCCTGCCTCCATCCAGGGAGTCATAGTTCACTCGGGAACAAATGACACTGCCCTCCAGCAGTCCGAGCTCACCAAAGGCGATTCTAAACGCCTTTTCTATTTTGGGGACAGTTGCGGGAAGTCGATGGTCCCCTTCTCCCGCTTGGCCGGGGCTCAGCTTGTTTTAGCAGAATCCTCAGTCTTCACACCTGGCTCCAGTCCAAGCTGTCGGTCCCACAATGGTGTTTTTCTCAATACAGTCATACCTCGGTTTTCGAATATAATCCGTTCCAGAAGGCTGTTCGAAAAGCGATTTGTTCGAAAGCCGAAACGATTTTATTAGCCCATGATTAGGGGCTAATACAACTGTGCAGAAATAACAAAATAACAATCAGATTTGAATTTAAATTACCATATTGGCCCGAATATAAGACGGCCCTGATGATAAGAAGACCCCCTCTTTTTCAAGACTCAAGTTTGAAAAAAGACTTTTTGAACACCAAATAAATTTTTATACAGAAAATAATTACAGTACATCTGAAACAAATGATTATAACAATATATTTGAGAGAAAAGGCATGTTTTTTTGCCTCATTGAAATCTTAATATCTGAACATTTAAATATGTAAGCTAAAGTGCAATCACATTCGTAAATGAATGGCTTCTGGTTTTTGAAATGTAAATGACATCATAACTTCTCCTCAGCTGCCGGTTAACCTGGCCGATCTTCGACCCACTTTTCTCCAGATTGTCACTACGTTTCTCCATTTTCTGTTATCACTTCTATTATTTTCTTCTCTTTTCTTTCTTACCGCTATTTTTTATTTTTCTTCTTCGTGCTACCGCTATTTTTATTTTTCGTGACAGGGGTTCACTTTGACCTGGGGAGTCAAGTTCAGCATTCGCTTCATGGATATCTGGCGCCATCCAGCGTCGTGAATGGGTATCATGTGTAGACCCCGAATATAAGACGACCCCCACTTTTTCAGTCTTATTTCAATGCAAAAAACACCGTCTCATATTCGGGCCAATACGGTAAATCACAACACACACATCTGCTCACAATGAACGTTACACAACACTTCCTCGTGTAAGGAAGCCGAGAGGAGTCGAGTGGCGTATTTGGGTTTGCTCAGTTTGGTCGAAAACCGGTTTTTGGTCGTAATCTGAGGCGTAAAAGTCTCAAATTTTCTGGTCGAAATTCGATTTGGTCGACAACAGAGACGTTCGAAAAGCAAAGTTTGACTACATTGGGACTGCCTCTCCTGTTTTAAAACAGGACGGCATCCACCCGAACAAATGAGGTAGCCGCACCCTAGCGGCTAACATACAGCACGCCCTCCACTCATATCCACGTGACTTACTATTTACTTCACACACACTCCTCCCCGCCACCCCCACCCCTCTCTTCTCTTCTTCTACTCTGCCACCTCTTAACTCCATTTCCCGTGAACCACTCCGCCCCCTACTGGCCCCACATGTCACTACAAGCCTCAGCTACCCCATTCACACCATCACAGACACCTCCAAACACAGTGTTAATTCTGCTAACAAAGGCAATCACCTCAACATCCCACCCTGTTATCCTCATAATGGCTTCCAGCACATGTTTATTTACTCCGACCACTCAGTCAACACCCTCCCGTCATTTTGGTCTCATTACCGCTCACTTTCCCACCACAATCGCCAAATTTTCCCAACTCACCAGAATTCTCAGCATGAAACTTGCCCTTTTTAACACGCGGTCTCCAAACACCAAACCTGTCATGTTCTGCTCAGCTTTGTTTCTGTTTCAGCATCAACCGGAGTGTTGGGCGTCACAGTGCACCCGCGTCTTGTCATGCAATCAAGCTTCTTTGTATTTAACGACTCCGACCCCTGCTTCTCTTTGTCGGATAATTGACCTTGATCGCTGTTCATGCCCAAGTGCCGTTTTCTAGACCTCGTTCTCTCGCTCGTCGTCGCTTTAGCCTCGCTAGATTTTGGTTTTGTACGTAATTTCTTTACCAAGCTATTTTTGACAAGTTTGACGTTCGTGTGTTTGTCATTTCGTTTGGTGGATTTTTGGTGATCAATTTTTCCTTGGAAGCGCTTTTTGTTCTCATTGGATTTATCTGGCTGTGTGTCGCCAGCGATTTTTGTTTCCACTTTGTCGGTCTCTCGCTTTTCCCGAAATAAATGTTTTTTTTTTTTGTTGTTGTCATCATTTATCCGAGTCTGCATTTCTGGGATCCACGATCCACCCGGTCTTTGTTTAGATCTTGTCACATCCTCCACGATTTCATTGTGGCGTCATCTTTGATCCAACCCACATCACCAAAACTGCTTTCTTTCACCTCAAAAATATCGCCCGCATTCGCCCTTACCACCTCATGACCCGACGACTGCAACAGCATCTTCTACAACTTACCCACCAAAACCTTCAACAAACTTCATTGCATGCAAAATTCTGCTGCCCATCTCCTCACCCACTCCCACGCCAGAGACCACATCACCCAAGTCCTCCAACACCTACACTAGCTCCCCATTCGAAAACGAATCCAATTTAAAATTCTTCTCGTCACCTTCAAGGCTCTTTACAACCTCGCCTCCTCCTACCTCACTGACCTCCTTCACCATCACACCCCCACCTGCAATCTTCGATCTGCCCCTACCAACCCCTCCTCACCCCTCCCATCCGAACCAAGCACCCGACCTGGGGAGACTTCTCTATCGCCGCCCCCTCCCTCTCGAACTTGCTCCCTCATCACCTCAGACACACTCACAGACTCCCCTCTTTTAAAAATGTGCCACTAAAAACCATTGATCCTTTTTTTTTACACACTGTTGCAACCATATAGTTTTAAAAATTACGATTGTCTTATTTTTCGATTTTGTTACATGCCCAATCTGTTGTTTTTCTGTTGATTTGTATTTTTTTTTTTTTAACCATGTAAAGTGCCTTTGAGTGTTTTTTAAGCGCTACACAAACAAAATGTATTCATGCATCCATCCATTTTTCGATCCGCTTCATCCTCACAAGGGTCGCGGGGCGTGCTGGAGCCTATCCCAGCTTACTTTGGGGAGTAGACGGGGGACACCGGAGCTGGAATCGAACCCTGCACCTCTGCACTGTGAGGTCGACGTGCTAACCAGTTGACCACTGGGCCACCCATAAAATGTATTATTATTGTTATTATTATTATTATGATTAACATTATTATTACTGCGATTAGCTGGCAACCGGTTCAGGGTGTCCCACGCCTACTGCCCGAAGACAGCTGGGATAGGCTCCAGCAGCCCCCCGTGACCTTTGTGAGGGTGAAGCGGTTCGGAAAATGAATGAATGAATATTATTTTTATTAAGGTCGTGGGCAAAATGCTATGTGCTTGTTTTGAATACACAATTCTCTTTGTGTTTAGTTTCAGAGTCTTCTATTCAATTGAGAGTGGCTACGAACAGCTTCAAATCTCTTTTTTGATGTGTTCACTATTCCCCCCCCCCCCAAAAAAGAATGGGATCTTGTCCGTCAGGTCACTCTGAATATTACTTCTGCAAGCATACTTCAGAAATGCCAATTCACACACGAGCATGTTACTGAGCAGAAAAACACGTGCGCGCACGCACACACACACACACACAGACACACACACACACACACACACACACACACACACATACCTTCTCTCTTGCTGTTGTGTAGACATTTGACTTTGGGCAATTTGGTGAGAAGCTGACAGTCGCTGCCTGAAACAACAACAAAGACAACAAAATGAAACGCACAAAGCGCTGCGTGCGTCGTCGTTTGTCACGGAAAGCAGCTCAACGATGAATTATTAAAATGAACGACAAGATGAGGGTTGACTCGGGGTGCGTTCGCTGCAAAAAAAAAAACAACTTCTCATCCTCTGTCCCCAAAATTTTATGGGGACTGAAAATCCTGCAGCCAGCATCATTTTTGTTGTTTACACGCAACATCTGTCATTTAGATTTGCTTTTTCTCCCCTGATGGGACCACTGCACAACTTGCTCAGAGTTGGTCTACTTTCTTCTGCGGGTTCACTTTTCCTTTCGGCGAAAAGGACGCCGCGCGTCTCCGGGGACGAGCGGTTGCAGCTGGATGACCGCTACGCTCTCTGACCGCAAAATAGATGCCTCACTTTTCACCTGACTGCTTGCATGTGTGCGTGTGTGTGTGTGTGTGTGTGTGTGTGTGTGTGTGTGTGTGTGTGTGTGTGTCCGCGCCCACGTCTGTACCTTTGTACAAAGGCATTGAGATAGGAATTTCATCAATGGATCGGGCTCATAACTCAAATCATGTGCATCTCAAATGATCTTTCCCCATTGAAATGAATGGAAATGCCATTAATCCGTTCCACCTTCCCCATCAAAACCATCATGATTTTTCAATGACGAAAGCAACATTCTGTCAAACTGTTTTTTGAATAAGGAACAAAAAAGAACTGTGTAATATGTGTTATATAAACACACAGTGAAAATAATTAAATAGAATTCGAAAGAATTTTGTCACGCTTTCAATTGTACTGCTCATTCTGGTGTGTGCACCTTGGCCACCTGGGGGCAGTATAAGACAGCCATTCTGATATACCTGTACTGTGCTACAGACTCAACTCCTCTTCTGGCTTCTCATTACGGCAGAAATACTAGTGGTTCATAGCAGAGCGCATATGACTGTGTGCATTGTTTATATTGTCTGTTGAAATGTGTTGCTGCACCGTGTGTGTTCATGTTTGTGTGCGTGCGCTCACCATCATCGCTGAAGTCGTCCACCAGAATGATCTCATGGATGAGATGAACAGGAGTTCTGTTTAACACACTGACAGAGAAACACATCGTGTCACACACACACACGCACACACACACACACACACACACACACACACACACACACACACACACACACACAGAGCTTAGGAATCCATTACGTGTGCGTGGCACACCATTTGTGTGCAGTCATGGAAAAAAGTCAGACTAAATTCCCTCCTTGGAAATGTGTTGGCTTTCTGTTGCCCGGGAAGGAAAAAATATTTCATTAAACCTCAAGATTGAGACATCAAAAATTCATAAGTTGCAAGCGCCAAAATGAGAAAATGTCTTTTTGTCCAAGCATGGCTTTTATTTTCAATATTTACACTCGGCTCTGGCTGCCACCGGCAGATGGGTGGGAGGGGTGAGTGGGGAGTGGGGGGGGCACCGAGATGACAGGAAGAGGAAGGCTGAACATAATAAGTGGGCTTCACGTCCCACTTAGATGCATTTGAACACAATAAAATGGGCTGCAAATCATGATAGTATTCATATGAACATAAACAGGATTCAAATTCCACTGCGTACAACATGAACACAATAAGTGGGTTCAGCTATTACAGAGATAGAACTTGGAATGAATGCTTGGTTTCTGATCAGAGACGGACGACCATTTTTGGGACGGAGGATGAGAATTTTTTTTTTTTTAAAAAGGTCGGACTAAGCACGGACGGAATTGAGCTTTCATCCGTCCCTTTAAACGTCCCTAAGCGGGTTAAGTATGTGGTTTCGGGAGACAAAATAACAAGTCCAGAGTGTAGTAAAACACCGTATTTTCTTAACAGGATTTTAACAGCACAACCTTTTTCATCTCAACAGTATTTTTATTTGTTTTTTTATTGCAACACTGAAAACATAACGAAGTACCTACAGACACCCATTCCACGAACGAGCAATCCAGCCGGTTAAGAAAGCTGGTTGTGTTGTATGTCTCTCGGTGCCAGCCCACCAAGATGCTTTTGCGATTTTGAAGGACAGATTTCTAAAAGTCAAGTTTTTATTATTCTTATTCTATTTCATCATAGTAGCTATTTTTGTGTTGTGAAATACTAATGTTGGGTTGTTTTTCACTCAGACATGAAAAATATATTTTCTTATCAGAGGTTGATGTGAGCATTCAGTAAAAAATGTCAACATAAATTTGGGTGACCGTTGATTGCAGTTTTGGCAAAATAGGCGACGTTTAGATTCTTTCATTTTGGGTTTAGACTGTCATGTTGCATCACTTTACGGCAAGAAAGAATGGATATATTAAATTAGTGTCGGCAACTAAAGAGGCAGTTTAAAACAAGATTCCATGCGAGCCAGAAACTCTTTGGAAATGTAAAATGAAGATAAATCTTCTTTTTCTTTTCAATTCTGTAGCAGACAGAAGCGATATGTCAGCCCATCCGCCATATTGTATGTGGCATTAATATTAGCCATAATGAGCCAGGATCACATCATACAATCAAAAACAATCATTCCGTATTCATCCAGTAAGTTTTGGATTGATGATACATCTAAAAAGAAGGAAGCATATTCACAATTGACTTCACTTTACCTACATAAATATGTGCAAATCTAACATAAATGAAATACATTCATCTGTACCCCCCAAAAAGTAGATGAAATGAATATGAGCAGAATAAAGTTGGCTGGAAACGGTAACGGAATGAATACGCCGATAAGAAGCGGGGTTCGGAGCGGGCTGGGGTGAATCTGAAGGTAATAAGCACGTGATATAGATCAGGAGCTGGTGTTGTTGATGAATTGCCGGAAAGATCTGCATGGCGACTGCCTGTCTCATCAGGGGATGATCTATCGGCGATCGCGCTGGTGGCAACAGCGACACGACATAATAAGCAGAGTTGCGACTAGAATGGTATGAACAGGAGCCGTCACCCACTTGAATAGGAGCCCAGCGAGGGGTCGAAAGTCCACGGAGGTAACATCATAAGTTCTCGCCACTCGGATAAATATAAACAATGATCATAATGACCCGTCGGAGGGGCTCCACAAGCAAAGTCACTTTCATTTGTCGATTGACAATAAATGCACAAACACGAATGGATTCAGATTCGGCGACTGCTTTGCTCTGCGCCATCTGTCAAATTAAAAGTTTTTCAAAGTAAAAGCAGATGTTTGCTGTTCGAATATATGTAAGTAGGTTATCCCGTTTTTATTCTTACTGTATTTACAAAACATTTATGATGGGATACGTTTACGATGAGTGGTTTGTCCGTTTGGGAGAGACCAGTAGGATCCTGTTCTCAGTTTTGAAGTTAATTATTTTTTATTTGTTATTATTATTAATTTATTTATAATTTTATCTGTGGATTTATTGCTCTTTTTTGATTGTAAAGTGTCCTTGGGTATTTTGAAAGGCGCTTATAAATAAAATGTATTATTATTATTATTATTATTATTAACAGCCTTTGATGGAGTTAACGGCCAATGATAAAATGAACTGCTGCTTATGAAGATAACATCAACCCTAGGACGACGCACTGCGGGACGTCAACGGCTGCAATCACGGACCACTGACCTCCAGGATGACCCCTCTGACCACCTCAGGAATGAACTGAATGCCCCATTTAGGGAATTCATTGCTGTTCTGAAACGTGTGGACACTGCCCACACTCCTGTAGAAGATGGTGTATCACGGACATCCTTCATAAAACCAAGGAGACAAGCGCGGTTTCTTCAGAGCTGTCCAGGGACTGCAACGGTTTACACATCTCAGCTAGCTGCAGAGCTGTTCCGAGATTGTGAACCAAGACATGTCTCAGCGTACTCTGCTTGCAAGAAAAACAACTGTGCTTGCCCCTTAGTCTCTCTTATGTTTTAAAGTTTGTCTTCGGGGTCTATTAAATCCAACAACTGACCTTTGAAACTGCCCGAAAATATTTACTGTCAAGAGGCAGAAATTCGGAACATTTTGAGCAATTTAAAGTTAGACAAGGTCTCTCACCAATTAACTGCCAATTAAGTTCAAAATCAATTACTGTATTTTCCGAACTATAGGGCGCTTCGGATTATAAGGCGCACCTTCAATGAATGGCCTTCTTTAAAACTGTTTTCATATATAGGGCGCACCACGTTATAAGGCGCATAGAATAGAAGCTACAATAGTGGCTGCGGTTGCACTAGATCAGGGGTTGGGAACCTTTTTGACTAAGAGAGCCATGAAAGCAAAATATTTGGAAATGTATTTCAGTCACAGCCATACATATATATAAAACTGTATTTTAAAAGTGAATTCAACAAAATGTCAGTATAATAAGCCTCTGAATGTATTTTTAAAAATAATGTTGTTGTAATAGTCACCATTAATGTGAATGATTTTCCGTTCCTCAAGATTGCTAATGATCCAGCAAAGGTAGCGGAATTATCGTCAGCTTGCCGGGTCCATACGCGGAGTTGCTGCTGGCTAGCTTGCACACTGCTCAGTTGCTTGCACGCTTCCTTTCTGCTGTCTCCCGCAGGGTATTTTGATGCGAACGTAACATGTCGCGTGTCAAAGTGCCGCTTTACATTCCACCATTTCATCGATGGTATTTTGTCATTGCAAATTAGACACACCGTAGAATCTGTTCTTTCCACAAAGGCGAATCCTTCGGTCCATTCGTCCTGAAGTGCACCATACTCGTCATCTTTTTTTCTTTTCGCCATCTTATTCGTCGAAGGATTAGCTTTGAGCTAATGACCGAGTGGCCTGATTCAAAAGGGGGCGTTCACCTGTTACCTAGCAACTTCCATCGTTGGCAAGTATCATCCAATTAAAATTGCTCCCGCCGCCAACCGCAGCCCTGAACAGTGAAAAATCGATGGATGGATTAAACAAGCGAGAATATTTTGTTTTAT